TACCACTATCACACATACGCCCTTCCAGGCCATGACCTTCCGGTCCATGTGTCTCAGGGGACTTCCGTTCCAACCCGGTAAACCCTCCGGTCCTACCCGTGTCGACCTTCCGGTCCACATCATAATGACTTCCAGCCCATAACAAGCATAGCATACATAGCACATACAAAACGGTCAACTAATCACATACAACGCATACATCTTATAGCATCTCCGACCTTTCGGTCACACATAGGTACCCTTCCAGGTACAATATAGTGAGAAGACTCACCTCGTAGGATGTCTAGAATCTCACGTGCTCGATATCTCTGAATCTCGAAACGACGACCCGACCCCGCCTATTCACAACGAATAATCATTCTAATTAATATAGGCTTCCAAGACTAAGCTACACCCTTTTTCACTATCCTTCAGAGGGGTAAAAGACCATTTCACCCCTCCTTGACTCAAAAGTCCACATGTTGACGAAAACCCTAAAAGTCAACATATGTCTGCAGCAAGCAGTACGCGGGGTATACCAGCTCCTGTACGCGGGGAAAACTCTTGCATTCCATAAACGGGGAACGCATCCACTACGCGGCGCGTACTGGGATTACGCCCAGCGTACATCCCAGTTTCTCACTTCCTTCTTCTAATGTCTTAAACAATTAAGACTTAACCCCATATTCCAGATCTGGCCAAAATAATACCTCTTAGTCCATAAAGTCGAAACATTTAAGCCTTGGCATGGCTATAAGGTTCCCCACACCTTCTAACACCTTTCCTTTCCCCTCCAAGAGTCTAGATCTCATGCATGGCCCAATATCCACGTCCAAGATTGCATTTTTATGAACATACAACTCATATAGTCCTGGAATATGATAGATCTAGGCCAGTGGAGACTACTTGCTCATAAAGTCTCCATTTTGGGACCAAAAACCCTAGAAATTGGTCCAAGAAGCACACCATATAAACTACAAGGCAAGATCTGAACTTTTTACCTTAGGAAGAAGCTCCAACCTTTGCACTCCTCAGATCTACACTTGTACACCAACTTCTAGCCTCCACAATGGACTTCTCTTCTCTTTTACTACCTTGAAATGACACTTTGAAGCTTAGAACACTCACACCCAAGCTAAAAACGAAGGAAATGCTCACTTAGGGTTCCTTTCTGAAAGATGGTGACTGAGGGTCATGACCATCTCATTCCTTTTATAGCCCTCAAGTCATATTAGGGTTTTGAGTCTGGGCCGGTTACGCCCGGTGTAACCTTAGGTACGCCCAACGTACCCGGGTGGCATCATGTACAAAATAAGCGCACGAGTACGCGCAACGTACTCTTTGTAAGCCCAACGTACTCACTCAACACAAAGGACCAAAATGACATTATGGAAAAGATGAAGGGTTAAATGGTCGTACCTGAATTTCGGGTTGTTACAGCTCTGATACCACTAATGGGTTTTAGTATACTACAACATCCTATGGTGCACATACAACCATTAATGCTTTGGATCTATTTTTTCTCTAATTATACATGCGATATTGTTTCCAAAGCATTAAGCCTACAACTAGCATGGAAATGACATAATCAACATAAAAGAGAGTTATAGAATTACCTTTTTATTGCAGCTTGTAGAACTTCTTGAGTTTGGCCTTTAAAAACTTAGTGTCCCAAGTGTTGCACCTCAAATGGAATCACACAACACCACCAACAATGTAGAACTTGAGGGAGAAAACTTAACACCAAAATCGGCTATAGTTCTTCCAAGAACACTAGGGTGCCAATTTTAGGAGCTAATGGGTTTCTTATATAGTGTGGCAAAACTAAGGTTACACCAAGTAAACCCTAATGTGCATGACCTTCCATACCTTAGGCTCTATGGGTTTAAACCTCCATGGGTTGTCACATGGGTTTAGCCCAACCTAAGGAATCATGGATCGTTGGCCCACACCATAAGAATGAATGATTTTACCAAAAATCAACCCCTTATATTTAATTAGTCTCTTTTGATCACAAAATTAATTCTTGATCAATACTAATTAAATAATATGATTTCATATTAATATATTAGGACTTATAATGTAATAAATCATGAATATCCTCTTCCAAAAGTCCATCCTTACAAATTGTTCTGGTGCCATGCAACCCAAATGGACCATGCTACTCTCGGGTCAAGTACATACCAGTTATAGTTATGGCCTTAGACACCTAATCCAACAGTTTCTGCATTCTGTGAAGTACATTGATTTGATGATGTTTTGTTAAATCTTGGTTACCTTGGGTTTGTGGGAAAAATATATATTGACGATTTATTTATCCAAAAACAAAAAAACTTATGTCATGATTTTTGGGATGTTACACTTTCAAAGTTTTAAAACTACAATTACTATAATTTCGGTGCTAAGAACTATTTTCAGTTTGTAAAATCAGTTTATTTAAATGTTAGCTTACTACAGCGGGTTGTAGATGTTTAAAAAACAAACATCCTTCTTATTAGAGGTTGCAACCATTTGTTCCACCTCTTCTGCTATAGATGGTTGCAGAGGTGGTCTGCAGACTTCATGAATTTTTTCTTTGGAAAAACAAACAACACCCAAGTGTTTCAGTGAATCTAGGTTGTTCAAATGGTGTTTGTTGTGTGACTTTTATAAGTGTATATATAGCCTGGGTTAAATAACTAAAAGTGTGATATTCCTGGATCCTATTGAACTAGTATTTTCACGTTGATTTGACTTGGAATTTCCAGGTCCTAATTCTAATTGAAACGATTCTTTAGAGTTGATGAGTCTTTTGTGGACTAATTTAGAATACATGAAGAATAAATAAAAAAAATATATCTATTAATTTTTTTAGGAAAGAATAATAATGGTGACGGCCAGGATCCTGATGTATGTTTTGGGATCCTGGGACTCCTTTAAGATCCTTGTATAGGTTTGAGGATCCTGACCCCTAACAACTTGTATCAAGAAAAGATGATAATACAGTAATAAGTTCAGTAAGGCATAGTTAAAAATCACATAAAGGCATAAACATATAGACCAACAAAAGGGAAAGGAAATAGATTTTCCTTGCAATGCATGACATACATCCGCTTCTAAGTCCCTAAGAATACACACATTTGAAATACATCAACAAATTTTTTTGGTGATTTCCACAAGGTTTAACTATGTGTATTTTGTTAAAAGTAGATTTACTTTTGATACTTAAGTTAAAATCAACATAATTTTGTCTTATGCATTATTAAGTGTTTAATTTACTTAAATAACACACTACCACTTAAATGATGATATAAGTGTATAACCTTATACTACATACAATCCTATTTCAACTCATATTAGTGTTTTGCCATGTATAAATCCTATTTCGATATTATACAATTTGTTTTTATAGTGAATTATGGGGCTATATTGAATTTATAATTGAGCTATACGATTTGCTTCAGCCTCTGCAAAGCACAAGAAAAGAGTTGTCTTGTAGTCTCACTAATGCTACATCAACATCGTAAATAGGGAACAAAAATAAGAAGTTATCACCCATTTTGACTCTTCAGACAGAGGTTGTAGCTAACAACCATAGGTCTGAGTGTCAACCTGTATAGATTTATAAACAACATTCTCCGCTCTCAAAGATTAATGGTTATTCTAGAGGTCTTTACTAAGTTTATGTTCTTCATTTATGCATACGAAACTCACATAACAAATCCCAAGATTTACAGTTCTACAAATATGTTTGTTTGAAACTTTAGTTTTAAGTTTAATAAACTTTAAGTGTAAACCTCAAAAGTTCCCTAACAAAAACCAGGCAGCATAACGATTGCATTTTGACCAAAAACTAAATTTCAACCAATATGAAATCCACCAAAAATTAAGCAATTTAAACGTGTACAAAAATAAAGTAAATACTATAGCAAACACATATAACATTTCTTTTCACATTCCTTTGATATATATATATATATATATATCACTACAACAAAAAGACCCTTTTACAATGCGCAAACCACGACACTCATTGATTTATGTTACGCAAAAGAGAGTGAAATTAAAAAAGTGTCGTCTCTTCAAAAATTTAAGGATTTATGTCACGCATTATTGCGTGCCCTTAGATTAGTGTCTCATGTAAAAAAAAATAAAAACATGGAGGGCACTTTATCTAAAATGTGCGTCGTCTGTGAATGTGGCTTTATGTTGTACTCAAAACCCGCGTTCTTAACAGAGGGAAATGAAATCCCCAAAAATGAAAACCCCGCCTATTCCATGTGAAAAATTAAAACCCGCTCCTCTTCCAATTAGCAAAAAAGAAGCATAGGGTCTTCTTCTTCCTCTCTCTCTCTCTCTCTCTCTCTCTCTCTCTCTCTCTCTCTCTAACCTAAAACCTAACCTGCGACTTCATAGAGATTGTTACTACGATTTAAGAAGCAAAGAAGAAGACAAGCAACAATAATACTACTAAATTCCACAAAATCGCAGGGACTAGGGCTTTTTTTTAAAGAACCGAAACACTTGGTGCTCTCTGGCCTCTGCAACAATCGACCGATGATCTCGCCTCACCTCATCGACAACATCTTTGCTCACTTCTCCTCCAACGACCTTAGGGGTATTTTCCTCCGGCGACCTCAGGCTCATGTGAACTCGTCGGAGACTGCTCAAATTTCCACACCCTAGCCCGACTAAGATATGCTTTGGTTATTCTCTCTTCCTAATCTTTTTGTTCTTCTTTTTCTTTAATTTCTCCTCTATTCATAGCTTTGATTTCGATTTTGGATCTTCTTATCTTCTCCTGTGTAAAACCCTTACTGAAAACCTATGCAGGTTTCACTGGCGATTTCCTCATCATTCCACAATCCTCACTTCTACTCTCTAATAGGTGCGATATCCTTCCCCCTACTTTTCTGCTTCTCGATCCCATTCTGATACTTTGTTAGCAGTCGCACATAGCACCTCACACACATACTTTACTATCTATATAGCCATGTGTTCCAAGGAAGAATGATGGGATGCTCTGAGCTTCCCATCTCAGCATGACAGGAGAGCAGATCTCTGTGCCCAGTAGTCCTAAAAATGGTGAGCATCATTCTGTTGATGAACCAATTCCAAAGGTACTCTGCTGAAAAGTAACTAGTTTTGAGCCTATCGTAACCTAAAACTGGTTTCAGTATAATTCATGTCCTTTGGAATTACTTAGTGCAGGTTAGTAACAGACACAAATTGGGAACAATGATAGGAGTCTTTATTCCATGCTTGCAAAACATTCTGGGAATCATCTACTACATCCGATTTTCTTGGTACATAACATAAATTCTTGGTACAAATTGGGAACTGCTGAGCTTTTTTTGGGTGGAAAAACAACTAGGATGAAAGGTCTTCCTATAGTGTTTGATAGTGGAAGTACCTACACTTACTTTAGTGGAGAATCTTCTAAAGCTCTATATTCCATGGTGAGGGAAAAATATTTTTGACTTCTTTTTAACTAACAGATATCTGTAAATTTAGTTCCACCCAAAAACATTTTTTTTTTGTTTTCAATCTATTATTGTTTGTGTGACATCCCTAGAGATTAGGTTGTTTGCCTTTTTGTGATGTTGGGAACTAATATAAAAACCTGTGGGTGCACTGCAGCTTATGAACGATATGAAAGGAAAGAAGGTTTATATAACAAATGAAGATAAAAGCCTCCCAGTATGCTGGAAAGGGTCAAAACCTTTCAAGTCAATTTATGATGTCAAAAACTTATTCGAGCCATTAATTTCGAAGTTCAAAAAGTCAAAGTTGCAGTTGAACCCTGAATCATATCTCATCATCAGTGTAAGTGATGTGAGCTTTTAAAAAAATAAAAATTCATTTCAGAATATAGTATTAAGTTTTAACATTTGCATACCTTGTTCCAGAAAAAACGGAAACACCTGCTTTGGGATTTTAAACGGTTCAGAAGTTGGCCTGGGAAACATTAATGTAGGTAAGCCCTAAAATATAAGTTAACTTATTTTAAATCTTTTGTAGATTATGAATTACAAATTTACTTACTTGCCATTTGCAGACATATCATTTCAAGACAAAATCATCATTTACAACAATGAGAAACAGCAGATTGGATGGACTCCTGCAAACTGCAACAGGCTCCCAAAGTCCTGACTCCTTCTCTTATAATAATTTCTTTATAAAAGAAAATAATAATAATAATAATAATAATAATAATAATAATAATAATAATAATAATAATAATAATAATAATAATAATGTACTGCAAAGTGACATCACACCTAGTTAGTTGGTTTGGTTCATAAATAAAGAGAGCTTTCAGAATCCAGACCTAAGTACAATTATTATATATATTACATATTATATATATATATATATATATATATATATATATATATATATATATATATATATAGCCAGTAAACATTTTGGGAATCTTCTTCAAGAACATGAATATTCTTGAAGGGATTCTGAGTATAATGTGAACTGAAACTTGGCAGGATTGTTGGCATCGCTGGCATAAAAAGAAATCAAAAGAATTATCATATCTTTATGCCACACAAGAGTTTTCAGCACACAATGGTTACGTCTCAATCATAAATTCCAGTCATGATGGTAGATACTCAGCAAGTGCTGGCGAAGATTGTATTATCCACATTTGGAAAAAATTTGAAGAAAGAAAAATCTTGGCTTTTCCTACTTGTTTCACGTGAGGCATTCATGATATGTACAGGAGTGTCCGTTGCCTTTATAATTGGAACTGTGCTAACATGGAGGACCTTGGCATTGACAGGTTTTAAATTAGTCTAAATTATATTTATTTACTACTAGTGCCTCTCTTCATAGTAAATTTTACAAACAAGGAGCTTCACATAGCAAACAATGGTGAAAATTTAAAAAAATTGACTCCATGGCATTGATTTTCTGATACTCGTGTTGGTTTTGGTTGCAGTTGTAAGGGTTCACAAAGCTGTAATGGAAAATCTTAGGATTCAGGGCAGAAAATCAAAATTCTAAAAGGAGCATGTGTTGGATTCCACAAAACTAATATCTATGCTACATTGGAATACATCATTCTTGAAGGATTTCAAGGGGATGCTGGTGAAGCATGGATAATATGCAGGTGGACCATCTTATATATATATATAATATCATCTTTATTTTATTCTATTATTTTTTAGTAACTGATAGTTTTTTGGTTCAAATTTACAATTACAACTCTCGTTTGGAAATTTGAAGGAGGATTGAGGTGTTAGAAGAAGATGGTTGTGTCCTTGAATCTGCTAATGGAAATCCCACTTTTGATTTTCGAAAATCTGAATTAGTACCTATAAATGTCATTGATTTTGGAAAGGTTAGGACTTTTTGTTATAACCCTAGGGGCTGTTTCTTTATTTTTAACTTAATGGGCTTGATGGGTTAACTATACATTGCTGTTTTTTTAAACTTAATTTGGACATCTTGACTTTATCGGTTAAGCCAAAAAACATGGATTAATGTGTTAAGACACTACCCTCTTAACCTAGTTGTCCTTTTTTCTCCCAACTCCTCATGTTAAAATTGATGAATATTGGGAATTTTTTTTTGGAATGTAAGGATAAAATGGTCATTTAGTCTAATTCAGACAGGTCTATAAAATAAACAGACCGTACACATACAGCACTTTATCCAGACAAATATTATCACCCATTCAAGACTTAATTGGAAAAAAGAAAGAAACAACCTTTAGTCTACTTGCAGTTATGTTTTCAGGACGTGTAACACCTTCATCACGAATGGACTTTCATGGTTTATATATATTTCAACCAAAATGTAACTCCCATCCTCTGTTTCAAAAAGATGGAATTTATAAATTCACGTTTTCCATTGTGAGTAACATTGAATTGCTTTAATGAATATATAAACCACATGGCTTTACAATCATATGCTTTTGTTAATGATTCAACTTGTGAGAAACGTGTGGTGAAGGTCAAAGTTGAAGCACCGCGTGAGGTCCACAAACAACCACTTGCCAAGAAGCTTCCTAATTATAATGTGACGTAAGAAAAATATAATTTATGTGTGCATTTTTATAAAATCTAATCTAATAACTCATATATGTGTTTCTTATTTGTTATTTAGGGTGGGTCGTTGTTTCCAGCCTATTTATGTTTTAATGTTTGATACATATTCCAATCAAATTCCATTTTTTAAAGTACCTGAAGTAGTGGTTAAGGTCGAATGTAACAAGGGTGTTAACCTTAAAGTTTACAAATGGAGCCCATCTATATCATTTGGCATGTCGGCTCTCATACTCAAGGATTTGATCATTGGGAGCTCTAATTAGGAGAGTATTCGACCGAGTTATGATGCCACTCTGATGTTATTTCGGCCTGATGGGTCCCACATGCTACAAATCCCTATCAAAGGTGTGCTTATTATGTTTGCCATTTATCATTCATTGGAAGAAATCCATTGGTTAACTTTTTTTTATGTGAAATATCATGATTCACGAAGCTGTTTAATTTATCTTAAAGAAATTATGTTTGGCATCATGCATGCAGGCAAAGATTGGAAGAAAAAAAGAGTTTGATGCAGCCCTAAGAGAACTTAGATGGAAGGATGTTGATATATCTGAGGAAGCGGATGAAATCCAGGTGTTCATTTCAAAGCTCTCAACTTTTTTTTTCTTTTTTTTGTTAACAAATAAAAATTATAGGATTCTTTTTATGTGTTATCAATGGGGTCTTGAATATGTTGATAGGATTATATAGAAACACTACAAAATCTCCCAAAGGCCAAAATATTCGATATGTTTAAGAGAACATATTTGCAATATGTCAGTGTAAGTTTATTTTCTTGACGACTCTTGTTGGCTACCTAAACAAAAGATTTTTATAATTGTAGTCTGAATCTTGTTTTGACCATACATGGTACTTTTTTTATTTTCTGTAATTGTAGTCTGTTTTAAAAAAAAAAAAGATTTTTATAACTTGCTCCTGGATGTGATTGTGTTATTGAGTTTGATCTTGGAAGTGGAAGCTATAATGTAACTTGCTATTGCTCATACAACTTTTGTTGGAAAGTGAGTATCATAATTCATGCATTTTTATAAAAGTTTAAAACATTAGTTTATGTTTCTTCTATATAAAAGATAAAATCTTTTTGTTGCTATTGTTGTAGTGTACAAAAGAATATTATGTTATATACTATATTGATATTAACTAATCATATATATTTAAAAATACTTCTATGTTTCAGGTTTATGTTCTTGAAGCAGATATATGGAGTGTTGGTGTGATTCTTTACAATCTTCTTTGTGGGGTCCCACCTTTTTTGGGAGGTAAGTCTAAAGGAATAAAAGACTAATAAGATAATAAGTTAATAACTTATCAAATTCTCTAAACTTTCTTTTAGTGACTGAATTTATGTTCTTTTTTTCATGATAGAATCTGAAAATGAGATCTTTGAAGAGGTTTTGAGGGGTAAACTCGATTTTAATTTCCTCAGATCCACGAACTAGTATCTCTGAAAGTGCTCAAGATTTGGTTAGGAAAATGCTTATTAAAGACCCAAAAAGACGAATAACAGCTCATGGTGTTCTTTGTAAGTCTTGGTTGTTATAAAATTTTCCTATAAGTATTATTTAGGCTTCTTATTGAACATTATTTACGAATAGGCCATCCATGGATCAGTTAGGCTTCTTAAAATAAGGTGATTATTTTTTTTTTTAATGCTACCATGGTATATAAATGCTATGTTGGATCAGTCTTATGCTAGCATGGTATATGAATGCTATGTCGGATCAGTCTAATGCTAGCATGGTATATGAATGCTATGTGATTGGGCTTAATGGAGGTAAGAAAATATCAAATTAAAGAAATAAGCTTTTAAAGGACTAGTTTATTGTACAAAGAAGGTATTTTTGTCTTTGTGATTTTCATTGTTAATATCAGGTAATTCATATTGTAGTGTATTTATTCCAAATCCCATATTCTTTGGATGGAGAAAAGGGTAATTTTGTCTTTTAAAACTAACTTTCCATGTTTGATTCTTCTAATAATTATAATAGCATAATAAGTTTTTGACTTTTATTTGGTCAGGTCACAAGAATTATCGGAGCAAGGGTTCATTAGTCTTAAAGAATTATGAAAGGCAAGATGCAACTCTACTTAGATTGGTCCTTTAAAATGTTGGCGAGGTGGGTTATGCCTTTCAAGATCTACTGGAGATAGAGATGTTGGGGAGTTCATTATTCCAGTTCCTCATGTCAAACAAGTGAAGGTTACTTTAGTAATTAAACTCAATTTATTCCTCTTTTTATTAACAACTTTTATTTATTCATGATCTTCAACTATCTGCTGCGGGTGGGCGGCTTGTAATTTCAAGTGATGGAGTATGGGATGCTCTTTCCACTGAATCAGCTCTGGAATGCAGTCACGGATTGGCTTCGAAATCAGCAGCAGCACAAATTGAATCAACTCTGGAATGCAGTCGAGGATTGGCTTCGAAAAATTGTCAAAGTACGGAAACAAAAAAAATGTCAAATTTGTAATAAAATATTATGCAATGGATTCTATTTTTTGTATATGAAATTTTGTATGACATTAAATTTTATGAAATGGATTATATTTTTTGTATATGATGTTTTATTTTCTATTATGAGGTATTAAATGCAAATTTAATTTGAAAATTAGTAAATCTATAAAAAAAAATATTTTTTTAAACATTTAAAATTATGATACGCAAAAATGTGTGTCATGTTTATTTATGACATAACCTTTCTTGACAGAGGCTTTGTTGATACGCATTGTGTGTCATTAACACGCGCGTTGTAAGGTTACGACACGTGAATGCGTGTCGTCTTCCTTTATGATATGGCCTTCCTTGATACGCATTGTGTGTCGTAAACGCGCGTCGTAACTGCGCGTCGTCTATAGACGACGCGCAAAAGTGCGTCATCTCTCTTTATGATAGGGCCTTCCTTGATGCGCATTTGCGCGTCGTCTGAGCCTTTTACGACGCGCAATAATCGTCGTAAAAGGCTGTTTTTCTAGTAGTGTGTATATATATATATATATATATATATATATATATATATATATATATATATATATATATTAGCCATTCGCTCGCGCCAAGCGACGGGTGCAAATACTTTTCTCATAAAGTAGTTTCTAGAGGAGATTAGTTCTTTTGTACAAATAGTTTATTGGACATCCAAGTTTCAGTCGTAGGTAAAGTGATGTGTCAAAAATAAAAGATTATTTTTCTTTTTGTGGTTTGTTCCCTTTAGGTTCGAGTATTCTGTTTTTGGGTTGTATCGAGGAGTGTCAAGAACTGAATATTAGTTTTCTTTTGACATCAAACTTTCTCTTTGTGGTTTGTACCATGACCCACCTCCTCCACCCCTATTTTACCGAGAACCATCATCACATACAAATACACATTGTCTAAGTGTTTGGAGATGTAATTAAAAAATGCTTAGTACCAAAACCGGTTAAAACAATTGTTTAAACTTTGGAATCAACATCAGAACCGATTGCAACCTCATGATGCAACGAAGGAGTATAATTCATTATATATATAATTGTTTTCAAATGGAGATTAATTTTTTTGATGAACTGTTTTGGGTCTAATATGTTCTTTTCGGATTGATCATGTGTAGTGTTTGATTCAATAAGTTCAGAAGCACTTCTACATTGATGATGCCATGAAATTTGTTAGGGTAGGGAATTCAGGAATTCAACGGGTAGTTCAAGGGAAAGATTGAATATACACCGTGATTGCATATTTGTATACGTTGAAGCATATTAGACGCTTATTAACTTTGTCCATTAGTATTTTTAAACCCATACACAAACTAATTGACCATTTTGAATTCACTTATTTATCAATTGTTTCATAGTGTTTATTAATGTCCATTAATATTTTTAAACCCATGGATCAACTAAGAAACCATTTTAAATGCATTTATTTATCATTTATTTTAAAATAAGTTTTCCTATATAACTGTTTTAACCATTACTATTAGTTATGGAAAACAAATAATCAAATCAAAATATCTAAGTAAAATTATATCATAAATTTTGTTAATCATAAGTCCGTAGATAGATATCAAAATAATATAATAAAAGAAAATCAACATAATTAAAATTTTGAATATATAGAGAGAAAAATTGTAATATGGTATAATGATATCTCAAGATACAAAAAAGTAGTCATTAGTGATTTTACCATAGTTAACAACTCTCTATACCCATCAGAATTTATTCAATGTAAAAACATTGTTCTTTTCCTATTTCTAACTGTTGCTCCAAAACATCATCCATTTTTCAGTTAAACAAAAGGATTACAAAATCTGAACCAACCTTGGTGTTCTTTTTATATACAAATCGAAAAAAAAACCATTGCACAATAAATTAAAAACATTTACACTCATTTTATCATTTTATCAATTGTCGAAAGAATTTTGTTTTTTCAAGAATACAACAATCAAATCTAATGAGGGACTTCGGTGTGCCAAGTTTCGTTTTATTTCCCTTTAATAGCAACCTAATTTTCTGGACACAGGAACTCACATATGCTTCTAAAATTGGGCAACCAATATCAAACTAAATACAAATGTTTGAAGCGAAACACCTGATTAAATATAAATGAAAAACAAAGATAAACTTACTCACTATAACCATTTTATAGGTTGAGTATGAACCAAATCGTCCATGACAAAACAATCACTGCAACTACTTCTTATTTCCATCACTTGAATATGTAAATCAGTACAAAAATGAGAGATAAATTACGAAATTTCTTTAAATAAAATTGAAAGATAAATTTGGACGGATACCATTTAACCACATGAAGAACTTCAATCCAAATCATAAAACAGAGTGCAATTTCCATCTCTTTAAATCTGTTTTTTCACTCAACATCTGCTCCTCTATATTATGTACTTTTGAAAAAACAAAGACTATCCAACCAAAAAATGGAGTAATGAGTAAACCCCAACAAAACCAATGCTCAATACCTTTCTCAATGAACCAAAAAATAAACCTTTAACTTGGATGAAGGCTCGTTATCACACAGATCTTCAATATAACTATTTTACAAATATGCAAAAAAATATTGATAGATTCATCAGGTAACAAAGAATCTTAATATAGGAAGCACCATCCTGCATTACCAATAGAACCTTCTGAATTTCAGCAAGCTCTTTCTCCAGAATATCTTCTTGCATTGTATGTGCACGAGTGGCCTCTAAATTCTTCTGATCCAATTCTGCAACCTATAAATATAAACTACTTTACAATTTTTTCAAGTTAGACTCCAAGAACATTAGATGTTTCTTGATTTGGAAGATACATCGTATTCCATCCCATATAAAGAAAAATTTTGCATTTCTAGAACTGAAAAAGAACAAATTACAGTCTAATACAAACATTGTAGCATATAATAACTTTGGGAAGAGAGAAATGATACCAGGGGAAAAGAAAATCCCAGATCAGCTTCCGAAAGAAAAAATTGTAAAAATTGTAATAACTTATTGAACCCAAATCACAAATCCAATTCCATCTTGAAACCAAATATGTTAAAACATCAATACCAATTAACTACAAGAAAAAAAATCATTACCAAAACACCCGGAGATATTTCCTGATTTGAAGACAAATAATCACTAATTTTTATAAGAATGACACCATTTAGTGTATAAAGATAAAAGATATGTTAGCATTTAGTATTAACTAACAATCAAAAGAGGTTTTATACCCAATATTATCTGAGAAATAATTACGATACCTGGTAATCAAAAGAGATTTTGTATCCGGTATTAGTGACTAAATTTAATTTGAATCTAGATGGGCTTACCTCTTCCACATAAATGGAGATCTCGATGTATTTTTCATCCACTTCTTGACAAATGAATGACCATTTACTTTGTTGACAAGTGTTTCTACAGATTCAACAAATATTGATCTTCCATCACCTGGTTAAAAGACAATGTAATTATGTGTATGTATTAGAGGAATTTCATCGAACAGTTGTTGGTCAACTATTAAGCATTACTTTTTCTCCTCAAGAACAGTCGCGAACACATACACATACATAGTAGCATATAAATAAAGGCTTAAGCAGTATGTTTTTGAAAAAAAAAAAAAAAAAGGAAACTAACCAACAAAACAAGAAACAATCGACTGTATTTTTTTACTTTTTTTTATCTCACATTTTTGGAGGGTTTCGACTGGTTTGTGGTGCGGTAGCGATGACAAAGTTAGTGGTTGAAAGATTTCGCAATCGTTTGAGGTAGTAGAAGTGTGCAAGGGAGGTGAATTTGTTTTGATATGCCACTAGTGTCTTGTTGTTTACAAGTTTATAAGATAAGATTACTATCCATAAATATAGGCCCGAGGATAGGGGATAAGAGAATAAAGCAACAAAATTTTGTATATTGTTGAATGATTCTACCTATCGATTCGTAATTAAGGAATTTTGAAATTTTCCTTAGACATTTCAATGTTTGACCAATTGAATCAGTTTGCTATGCATAAATGTATTGTACAAATTATATTAAGACTTGTACTTCTTAAAATTCAGTATTTAAGGGTAAATGTTTATTAAGGTATATATATATATATATATATATATATATATATATATATATATATATATATATATACACACACACACACACACCCACACACACATACACACACACACACACACACACACATATATATATATATATATATATATACTAGTTTATAACCCGTGGGAACCACGGTTACAAAATTAATTAAACTTTTATAGTTAAAACTCAAAATTATTAATCAAATATTTTAAATAAATTATTAACTAAAAGATATTTTTTTTAGTTATATAAAATTATAATTGTTAATTTAAATAAATATATAAATTATATCATCTTATAATTTGTAATAATTTTATTGTAATGTTATTAATTTAATATAATTAGAGTGGGAAATTTAAAATTTAAAATTTAAAATTGAGAATTAATATGTTAATAAATGACATGCATTAATTAGGAAGACTAATAGGGTGACACATGTCAAAAGTAGAATAAAATATATATTTGTTAAAAGACCTAATAAAATGACACATGTCAAAAGGAGATTAAAGCTATTCTTTTATTAGAATAGGAAGAGGAGGATATATATATATATATATATATATATATATATATATATATATGTACTAGGTTATAACCCGTGGAAACCACGGTCCATATGATTTAAAAGTTTATAGATGTAAAATTATGAAAACAATCATGTTAAAAGATATTGTTGCAGTTGTAAGGGTTAAAAAAACAATTAGTAACAACCTCTAAGTATGATGTTATTTTCATAGATTTTCCAACTTTAATAATCGGTCAAAATAGCAACATACCTTGATTTTGTGTACAAAAGGTAATAAAAATGTAACTTTTCTGTAAAAATAGCATGTTATAAAAGTTAATTAATTGAGAAGTACAATGATATATTTGGATTTATAAAAATAGTATGATATTATTGATAAAATTACAACATCATTATGTACTGTGTGTACATATAAAAATTTAGAAATAAAAAAAATTGAAACAAACAAATTGTAAAAGTAAAATATTTGGTATATAAACAAACAAAAAATAAAAAACAAAAAATGAAAGTTTGTTATTATTCCTTGGATGTTAGCAAAAGTAATGGATTTAAACAATTATAAAAAGGGTATAAAGGGAATTATTTTTGTATGGTTCTTTGTTCGGCTTATAGTGTTATTAAAAAAAAGTAAATATGTCTTTTTTCAACATACAAAAAAACATAACACAGAAACACATTTAAAAAATTACATTTTTACCCTTCTTAGAAAAAACTTGTTATTTAAAATACATCCATTTAAGGTGAATAAAAGATATATAAATATAGACATTTTAAAATAGAAATAATTCACATGATGTTTCATAGTTGCAAGACATAATAAACCAATTATAGCAATGTACATTCAAAGTACATTGCTATACATGGTACAAAGCGATTTTTATTATTACATTACAGATTACCCTTTGAAAATAAGATAATATTTAATTTAAAAAAAATATATGTTAGTGTTTTTAAAAATAAAGATTTAAATTCTTATAGGTGTGTACTTTGAAAGTACATTGTTATAGATAGTATAAATAAAATTTTATTATAAAGTATAATTTACCCTTCCATGAAAATTAGTTTTTTACATAGTATAATGCTATATTTGTACAGTAAAAGAAAGTAGGTAGCTATTTAATGCATTTGTACCAGTTAAATGATGTTATATCCAATAGCTTATATCAACCAGTTGATTTCAAAATTGGAGAAGATTACATGCTAATTTCTCATGGAATACATTGAATTGATTTAAACAAAACTACCTTATAAGTCGCCACTTTTGCATCTCCCACCATAGCACAATAAAAAAAATACTCCCAAACATCAAGGGGCATAAAAGTCATATCTTGAATTTTCCATTAATAATTGCAGAGTTAATGGACAAAATATCATGAGAACCATTGAATTCTATGTGACAAATGTCATCTCCACTTAACTCAGGATGAATTTTTGCTCATAAAAGAAATTTGACAACTGCAAGCCATAACTTGTTTTTACCATTGGCAAAACAAATAACTTTGCCAAATTACTCTCCTGCAAAAAGGAGAGAGTTTTGAAAAACATGATTTTACTCATTTATCCCTCCATGGACTCTTTGACCAATATTTCATCCACATATGAAATAAAGAAAAACTAAAATAAAAAATGTTAACAGAGAGAGATTACAAATACATATACCTTTTCACCATGTTCAACAACATATCCATTGTAACTAAAAGGTTAAATGCCACATGACTGATATATGTATAATTATAAAATTATCCTTTTCTGGTGATGTTCTATAGAAGAGGCACTACACATAAGACCGAATATATTTTTATTGAGAAAAAAAGATTTGATTTCAAGGAGGTGTGTTTGCATATCATTACAAAAAGCAATTAGTGGCACACCACTTAAATACTTATCATCCTCATTCAAAACGTAATAAGTCAATAAGAGAAACAAAGAACGAAATCAATTATTCCCAAATAAACAAACATATAAAATTTGAGAAACATTTTATTAAAGGTTTCATCATTCAACTTTTTTAACTACATGTATCAATTGCTTAAATCGAATTAAGCAATCAAACACTTGGAAATAAAAAGTGAATATTGGTAGAAACGGTTTTTAAAACTATAATCGTTCTCACTGTTAGTTACTTGAGATATTTCTGTTGTTGGTTGTGAATATTGGTGTTTTACCTGCATGTATTTTACCTTGAGATAAAAAAAAAATGTTTGCTTTATGGATCCAAATTTTACCAGACTTTTATATAACTGAGTTTTAGAAAATAACCACCAAAGTTATATATGTGAGAAAGGGAAGGATGCTCGTATCTATAACTTTTTGGTGGTTATGAAGCTTGGTCTTTACATACAAAAATCCATACACAAATACACACATAAATACACAAGGATACATTATTTCAGAAAAAATGATAAAGAACCCAAATTCTCACTAACAAAAATACAAAATATTAGTAGGTCTTTTGTGGGCTAGAGGTTTACCCAAGGATAGCCTGAGGAGATGCACCAGAGAAAGAAAAGCATGAAGAAAGTGTGAACAAACCTAACCCTGTTTTTGTTCATCCAAATTGAAATGACTGATCACAAAAACATGATTTACCTTAAATGTCAGTAATAGAACATACACAAAATTAAGGATCATCATAGGCAAAATAAATTAATCAAAAAATCAAATAGAAGCTTAAACCTGCAATTGATTAGAAACATCAGATGAGGACGAAAACGTTAAACCCAAGGTTTGAGAGGTTGGGTATTCTGATTTTCATTACACAATTATGATGGAGGTGATGAGAAGATTATTTATTGAATAAAACCCTAGTGAGGAATCAATTAGGGAATTAAAATTTGAATCTCACCATGATTTCAGGATCAGACCTATGATTGTGCGAGAAATCCCGAAGATTGAGGGATACAACGAATGGGAAAAAAAGTTGATAAATTGTATAAAGATGACACGTGGATTGTAAGAGATGTAAAAGGCGGACCGTTGCATTTAGGAGAGTGTTTTATTAGGTAGAGAGATATATATATCTTTACTATTATATAATACATATTTGATGTTTCTTGAAAATTAAGAGGTACACCGTTAGAACATCTTGTACAATTTTATTAAGCAAACAACGAAAACGTCTATACGCTCCTATTAGTAAAACATCTACATGCTCCTTTCATTGTAACTTACTGTAGAAAACCCTAATATCATTTACAAACCATGGGTCGCTATTTCTTCCACCTTCCGTCTCTGTACTTGCTCTGTTCAATCTCCAACAGGCCTCCGTTACCACCACCCTACTGATGTTTTCACTACAACCTAGAAGTAGGTCACCGACCACCCAAATGTTCTTCTCTCTCAACTGGATGATCGACGCCCTTGAAGTCCACATTTGTCGTTACCGCCATTTGCCACCCCGTATGTCACCCCGCTTCTACTTTTTGTCGAAAAGAGAAACCCTAACCCTAGGTTTCCTCCTCTAACTGTATCTTAATGCCGTCTCCACAGAGTCTCTACCCTGGCACCATTATTCCAGTGACGAACCACATAAAAAAAAAGGAATTTTGGTATCTCAACCCTCAAGTGCTTCTTCTTTATTTTCCATTAGTCTCAATTGCGATTTCTTTGTTTTTGTTATGTTGTTCCAACTTATCAGATTACCCGACAATGGTAACACTGATCAAATTGCTTATGTTAATTCTAGCTTTTCAGGTTTTTTTTTTTTGCTCTCAATTGCTGATTTCATATTTAACAAATCGAGAAACCCAACACCTTGCACCGATCAAGAATACATTTTAATTAGGTAAACATGCATTAGTTTTTTGTTTCTCTATTTCAACTTACCAGATTACCTGAGAATGGTATCAATTGTTGATGATGATTCAACATATGGCTTATATAAGTCGATGGCCTACAGAGGCTTTACAGAGCACAAAAAAATTCTTTGGGAGAAATGGCTATAGATTGGAAAAGTGATCATAGGCTCTGCCTTCTTCACCAATCACTACCATGACTAAATATGTGGTACCGTCCCTTGTTGTAGACTTTATATTTATGTAAACTTTCGTTGATTTAGCAATATGAAGAAGATCACTTTTTAAGCCTAAAATGTACCAATTTCGGAAGTTGAAAAACTGGTAAAATCTTTTTTTTTCCTGTTCCATATTTGCTTAAGTTCTTCGGTTTGTGTGTTTTTTTTTTGTTTTTTTTTTCATATTTTAGAAGCTGCCATTACACATTCAAGTTAAGCAACGATTTCTAACATTTATTTGGTTACTGTGGCTGTAGACATAACCGAGGGCCATGATTCAGGGTTAAACTCATACACTTCTTCCCGTTTATGTTAATTTGATCTCGCACATATGTATTTTGTTTTATACTTCTTTGAATTAATGAATGCATGTTTGCAGGTTGCTATAAAATTCATAAAACAATATCATCACATGGGTACTGTTGAGTCTTTTTCCATCTTTTTATTTCATTTACACTCTTTTGCCAAATGCTGTCGATTCTTGTATTTTATGAACAAGAATTATCAATTATTTTCAAGCAAAATGTATACTTTCTCATATTTAGCAAGAGAAAGCAACATTCAACACGTAACACTCATTTTTCATTGTTTACTTTTCACTGGTTTGTCTTGGCATTGTTTGGTCTCAATCCTAATATTTGTTAATGTTTTGTAACTATGATCATTTCTAGGTCTTAAAGGGGTTGGGATAGGAAGAAGTGAGATATATATACACTTTAGGCATATCATCTGTCGCCATCAAAACTTTTATCTCCTTCTCCAGATATATCACTCACTATTTGGTAACACATTTCCTAGAATCATCTATCAAAAATTCTTTACTAATTCAAGTGATATATTCTCGTTTAATTGTGTTCAACTTGATGTCCTTGATATGTATGTTACAGGTTGATATGCCTGGAGAGGGCATAGGGAAGAGACCAACAGCATGATGACATTTTTTTGACTATTTTACCCTTGTATTTAAATTACTTATTGTTCTATCTTTATCTTTGTTGGTAATGTTTTTTCATGTGTAGTGACGAATACATGAGGGACACGGGTTATATGAGCTAAACTCGGAACAGGATAGGTTTTTGGTGACTAAAAAACGACATATATGTAACTAGGCTAAGAATATTTTTTCCATAGAGTCAAGTTATGTTATTGGTCCATAGATATTCAAAGTTTGACTAAAGGTCAAGTTGAGCTGCATTTGGTGAACCAAAAACCACACAAATACGGTTAATGTAGTTGTAGTGTATGTAATGTACAATTTACTTTGTGGTTTAAAGCAAGAAATAGCAATGTGCTCTCTGGTGAAAGTAAGAAACAACAATGTACTATATGGTCTAACCTAGACATAGGAATGTACTTTTTGTTTATGTACCCTGCTATGTATTTATTTTATCAAGTATAATTTTACATTAAATGCTAGACTGAATGGGTTAAATAGTTTGTATCAATAAAAGTCATGAAACCATCAAAAAAAAAAGGATTAGTCTCAAGTATATTGAAAATTACCCATAGTTACAAGTAGTGGTAAATAATTTGGCTATTTATCTTTACTAATTTGTAAACCAAGCATCTATTTATGTCTACAATAATTGGTAGGTAACGTTTATTGTTTGTTTTATATATCCCAACAATATAAAATGATCAAACATAATTTGTATGAAAGCTTTAAAACAAACATATATCTAATATCTGAAACTATAGTCCAGTAAATATGTGATGATTGACACCAAAACTGCTTGCGTAGACAATAATACAATTTTAAACGTGGCTTAATTTATGTTGTCTTAATTTAAAATAAAGTATCTAATTGATAAAACATGAATTATCATAATATAGTGATGTGATACGAAAGCCCCTAAATATGTTTTTGTTTATATTATAGTTATACATAGAATGCCCAAAATACGTATATACATATTGAAAATGTTTATATAAACATTGAATTTATCTTATTTTTAAATATTATTTCTTAAACATCTGTTTTTCTTTATTTTAGATTTATAAATACATTTTTAGAAGTATAAACATGTTTTGCAGAAATATAAACAAGTATTTAGAAGAACAAAATAAATATTAATAATTCTAAAAATACAAAATACATATTTATACTTTTAAAAATATATTTTTACATTTAAGTTGTATAAATAAGATAAAAACACATATAAAGAAAATAGCATTTAAAAAAACATATTTATCATCGTCTCATGTCACTGCCGCCAACCCCATTGTAGGACTATGAACACAGCCATACACTAATGCATAAAGGAACGATCTGGTGCAAAGCAGCCCACCGAAAGGAACTATCCACCGTCAAGGAAACTAATCGTCGTGTGGAAACTAACTTGCGCCGCTGCATCGCGCGGGTACTCCACTAGTATATATATATATATATATATATATATATATATATATATATATATATATATATATATATATATATATATACATACCTTGTGGTCGTTTTTATCATATAGTAAATGTTAGGGCCAAGATCCCTGATCCTATCTAGGATCCCAAATCTCAAAGATATCTAAGGATCCTTAAATTTATCCCGGATCCCGAATCATAAAGGAGTCTTAGGATCCCGAACATACATCAGTATCATGACCATCACCATTATAATTTCCTAACAAGTTTAATGACTATATATTTCTTACATGTATAGAAATGGTCAACAAAAGACTCATTTACAACGAAGAGTCACTTTAACTAGACTTAAAACATAGGAATACCAAGTTAAAGCATGTTGCAAATACCAGTTCAACAGTATCCCAGAAATATCATTCTTATAGTTACTTAACCTATACTATATATACACCTGTAAAACACACACAACAGGAACAATCTTTTGACACCTTATAGACCAAGAGCTAAGCAAACAGTTGTAATCTTATTTCTATCGACATCTCTTTAATTTACATTCAGATCAATAAGATCAACAAGGAAGGTGATCATTATCACCTCCCAATGTTTTATGCCGAAGAACTTAGCAAGGATCAAGGGGTTTCTTTGTAAACCACTCGTGTTATTTTTATCTTAATTCAGTACTCACATTATTGACAACACCACAACCTCTCATACACCTTGGTTGATATTCCATTACTCGGTTTTTTCACCAAAACAGTAAAATTTATAAATCCTCTATTTGAAATATGATAAAAGTGACATGAACAATTATGTAGGCCTTATGAGACTTGTAAATGTAACGTAGACACGTAATATAAATGTAGCTTAAATGTATATACATAAATAATTAAATGATCGTATATACTCGTAAAGTAAACGTAAAGTCGTGTGAATTGCCCCTTGAAAACATTAAAAAAAAAAAAAGATAAAAGGGGCCGTAAAACTCACCTAGTCACATGTGATAAGTTTGTTTTGGTTTTCGAGACCCAACTCAGGTTTTTTCTTGTTTTTCAACAGGTGATCTTTTTGAACAATACATCACTCGAGACTTGACTAACTTCACGAAAGGCACCTAAAAAACAAGTTTTTAGACTCAATGGAGCATCAGAGGGGGGTTCACTGGAAGTGCATGCGCCGCCAACTACGGTGGTGCGTGGCTAGAGTTGTTCACTCTTTGGGACTATTTCGTGAAGGAAAAATGAAATCAAAATCACCTTGGGTCGATGGACAGAGCAGGAGGGTCGAGAGGTGGTTGGAAACGGGTGGAACGATGGTGAAGAGGGGTAGAAGCCGTTTTTTTTCTAGTGGCCTTTCCTTGGCTATGAAGGTGTCGTCAGGGGGGGTTGTTTTGGGGTCGATTAGCAATGTGAGTCGAAGCAAGCAGGGGATGTGTGTTTGTGGGTGGTGACCAAAGAAACAAAGAGATGGGAAGGGACTGGAATTGACAGCTAGATGGCTATCGGACCACTTCGTTTTTTTTGGTAAGGTAGGAATGAGAAGAAGAGATATTTTTTGTGTGAGAGTGAACGCGGGTGAGAGATTAGAAAAGTAAGGGAGTATATATATATATATATATATATATATATATATATATATATATATATATATATATATATATATGCATGATATTTGTGATCTTTGATTGTATAAATGTGATCTTCAAATATGGATTTGATTGTACTTCTTGTTCTAAATATAATTACATGTATGTGCAAGTATATAGTGGTAGAGATATGTTACGTGAGAAAGTTATAGAGATAGATATGGAGTGATTTTGGTAGTAGTTAAATGATTCTGATATGATTTTATTAGTATAAGAAATTTATCTTGCATGATCTAGTTAGTAAGTAGTTGTATATTTGTGCATGTGCACAAATAGAGATAGAAAACATGAAAGGGATAGAGAAGAGTGCATGAGTGTTCTTTGAAGTATGGGTGAACATTTGCATGAGAGATACACACACATGCTTGAAGTTAAAACCTCCATTCTTGTCGCGGGGGGGGGGGGGGGGGTTCTTTACCTTCACAAAAGGACCGGTGGAAAGAAACTCTTCGATTTAAAAATACGAAAATGCCAAATTTGTACGAGTGAATCTAAATCCTTTAAAACAGATTAATATGTCAAGATAATTCATCAAGGAAGAAACTAATGAAATAATTCGCTTTTTAACAGTACACATCCTTAAAACCTTGGAATCTTGAATACCTAGAGAGGAACTTAGACCTTCTCCTTCAGAGGACCTCTTTACAATCATTTTAAAGCTTATATCTTCTAGGAAAATATGCAAAACTCATGAACCTTCCTCTCAGTCAGTGGCGGAGTATATGTAGGGCTAGGAGGGGCCGTGCCCCCCCCCCCCTGATATTTGGATCATTAATAGCAAATATGACTTCAAAATATTTAGTATAGGCCTGCTAGTTTTACATTTGGGCAGTGGCCCCTCCCGATTTCTCCATAGTTTATAGTCCGATTTCCAGAATCCAAACCAAACGAGTGAAGCACAAAGTGGAATCGATCGTATCTTCCGCCCCAATCCCCATCGTCGCTGTGACAACCCGAAATTTCCATTATGTACGAACATTATCAAGTCAATAGAAGTTAGAACAGTCACAGTAAATTTTCAGACTTTTCCGTATAAGTTTGAGTATTTCAGGGTTTACACTTAAGGAGATATTAGGAGAGTGGATGCACTAGGGTTTTGTGCAACTATGTTATTCTAAAACTCTATTACATTAGAGTTCATTACGGGAATGAAATATTTTCTTCCAAATATCTTAGGACTATATATAGAATTTTGAGCGATATTCATTCATTTGTTGCATTTTCAACTAGAGAAAATTCATTTCTCTCTCACGGGTCTTCGGGTTTTCATCCCAAATCGTGAATACCTTTCTCTAGTTGTATTATATCGCTTATAATGTGCTTAATAACATCAATTTCATAACAAAACAACTAGATTCGGGAGTTTACCACCCAAGAACACCTTGGGGAGTAAACTCCTAAATTGATGCCTAGTCCTTTCCCCTTGATATGTAACCAACTTAGGCTTGTACATTAGTGTAATTAAGCCTTGAAATCATCCCGGAAACACAAAGAGTAAGGTGTTCACGGCCGAAGAAGTTCTTAGACCGTGAACTCCAAACACAAGGGCCAAAGAGTACTTTTAACACTCCTAAAGCCTTGGACAATTACCTAGATTTACTCCTAGTTAATTTAAGCACTTTAAAACATCAAAAACCCCTCCCAAAGAGAGATTACGGCCCTATTGAGGTGCTTGGGCCGTGAACATCAATCAAGGGCACCAAAGTGTGCCTAAGGCCATCATTTGCCTTGGATAAATGTCTAGAACATATCCTACATGTGCATGGGACTTGAAAGAATAAAAACACCCCTTCTATGTGAGCTTACGACAACAAACTCCAAAGGAATTGGCCTTGGGGTCGTAAACTCATCAAAGGAGGTTATTAGTGCCCTAAACCCTTTCAAGAATTAATCCACCAAGTTGGAATGCTTCTAGGGATCATATAGAACCTCAAAACACAAAATAACACCTAGCTTAGGAGTTCACGGCTGTAAACACAAGGGCTTACGACCGTAAACTCCTTGTGTGATGTTTATGGAAGAGTAAACTCATGTATAGGGTCTTTTGGAACCCTAAACCCCTTTAGCCTTGTCCCACAACAACTTAGATACAATCCTTAGGGCTTATAACACTTATATAAAGTGTTTATTATGTTCTAGGATGTCTTAGCATTTACAATTAGTAGTTTAAGACTAATTGGGTGCATATATGTGTGATTATATGTTCATTAGGATCATACTATGTGTACAAGTCCTCACTTGACACTTAACTATCCGACACCGTTCAGTACATCCAAACCACCATCTATAGGTGAGTTTATAACCCTTAATCAATGTTTTAAATGATTTTAAATGCTTTAATGGGGGGGGGGGGATACAGGTAGAAAATAGCATGTTATTAAATCAATCATATGTATTTATAACTGTGTTTT